TAATAAAACAAATTTAATTCAAATAATATAAGAAAATGAAGATTTAAGATATTCTTAAGTATTGTTTCTCTTTCAGAATGGCCATCTTAACTCTAGAAGAATATCAGATCTGGAGTGTGAAAAATGTTCTTGCCAATGAGTTTTTGAATCTACTTTTCTAGCTATGTTTAAGGTAAATGACAGAGACCGAGGGCAGTGGTACCAGTAATTCTACATCTTTTCCATTATGAAGTAGTTGGACAACTAGACTACAAAATCATATATTGTTAAAAGAACTACATTAACCTGTACACAACCTGCAGATGGTAAGTTAGAGCATGCATGCTTCTCAGGGTCACAATGTGCATGATAGGAAAGTAGAGTATAGCTGATAATGTTTATCTTAATAACTCATGATAGAGCAGATTGTAGACACATAGAAAAGAATTTAAAATGTAAAAGTCATTATAATTTGCTATTTTTCTTTACTTTTTTTTAAGATCCTTCCTAACAAGTAAGGCAGTGTGGACAGAGACATAGATCATAAGTGGACAGCTGTAAATTTTTCACAAAGTATACCATCTTTCCAGTTAGGAGGTTATTTTAGATGCAGAGCTATTTCTTAATTTTCTTTTCTTCTTGGTTTCTTTTTTTCTTTTTTTAATTTAATTCTTTAGAAGGTCCAAAAAAGATTGAAGGAGAAAGGAGGAAAGAAAAGCTGTCAGGGGTAAACATGAAATCATAAAACTTGCCAGATTTTAACTATTTTCCCAGTTAAAGTAGTTCTCTTTGCTCCAATTTAAAGAAACACCTAATAGTTTCCCATTTTTCATAGTTCTTCATAAATATATGTTGATTTAATAATATTTTACAGGGAGGAGGTGTGTGAGTAGGAACAGACTGGAAGTTCAAGATTTGTAAATACTGACAAGTATATATAGAATAGATAAACAAGTTTATACTGTATAGCACAGAGAAATATATTCAAGATTTTGTAGTAGCTCATTGTGAAAAAATATGAAAACAAATACATGTATATTCATAAAGGACTGAAAAATTGTGCTGTACACCAGAAATTGACACAACATTGTAAATGGACTATAACTCAGTAAAAAAGTAAAAATAAAGATAAAACTGTTAGAACACTATAAAAAATGTAGTATTTTAGATTTTTCTTATTTTATTCTCCTTTTCTAATATAAGCACCCCTATGAAGATCAATAAGGCTTGATACCTTTATATCTATCATGATCCTCCATTGTAAATACAGAGTAACCTGCCTGTGACACAGCTATGTTAGAATAAATGAAAATTTGAACTCTTCCTGACAGCTAATAACTAATGTATATTTAAAGCATATGAAATCTGATAAGCCTATAATGCCCATTTAAATCAATCAGTTGATCCACTGTCAGTTATCAGCCAGGATCTAAGTTGATCTCTTTATAAAATATAAATATATATAAAAATAATATAAACCTACTATAAACAGAAATGACTTGTTTAGTAATATGAAAATTGAGCAGCTATTTTTATCTCATTTAAAATGATGTCCTCAATTACTTTAAGTTATCATTAATTATATAGACATTTTGACCACATAAGTTTGTGTCTGAGTCATCTTGCAGCTCTTACATAGCAAAGCATTTTGAACTTCAATATTGCCTTTTCTATTTTCTCATGCTTATCAGGGACTTGCATAGGCACCATTTTTTCTATGACTCTATAAACAGATGTGTGCCTGAAATTTTCTTTTGTGTCTAAGTGTTTCTAGAATTATATTACTGACAGATTTTTTGTTGGTTAGCAATCTAATTTTTTTCTTGGTATATATGGTCCTTTCAGTCTTTTCAAATATATATATATATGTAGTCAGTTTACAATG